ATTGATAAAATATTTTGGCTAAGATAGTACACCATATAAATTCAAAGAATAACTTAAATTTTACTATTTAAATAATACAACTAAATAAGATTCAAGTAAATTTAATTTTTGATTTGTAACACTCTAAACATGATATAGAATCATTCTTTTAAGTTGTTAAATAGCAACATTTTTCCCATTCATGATTTAGCCAACAATAATGATGAAACTAAGTTGAAGTAGATTGGTGTATTTCTTCAACTAGTTCTATTAAGCTCCCAATCTTCTTTCATTGATTCTTTAAGCTCCAAACAAGACAAAAAATGGTGGAAATATAGGAGAAAGTGTGTGACACCCTCTACCCCACATGTAACAATAGTCAATATAAATGGCTTCTTAATTTAAAACTAGATTCATGCATGAAAATCAACTAATTAAAATCAAGGTTGATAGAAGATACCACATAACAAACTGTAACAGCCTGATTTTCACAGATTGTTTGAGGGCCCAAAGGCCCAATAGGGGTCATTAGTAGCCTAGAACGGGCTGTTCCAAACTACTAAAACGAGAGTGATTTTGTAGCCCAGAACGGGTCATTCCCAAACTGGAACAAGCTGTTCCAAAATACAAAAATTGTCTACAAATTTTAGATAGGAACGGGGCGTTCCCAAATTGGAATGGGGCGTTCCAAATCAACAAAAATGCCTATAACCCTAATTGAGAACGGGCAATTCCAGATATGGTCGTTGTGGGTTAAGTACAACCCCAGAACGGGTCGTTCTGGTTTTAGAATAGGTCGTTTTAGATGTAAATTTTACACATGCTGTCAAAGTCCAAAACAGGCCATTCTGGATTTGAAACGGGTCATTCCGGTGACACTTGATGCCTATAAATAGAGCGCTCTAGCACTCCCAAAATCACACCTTTCAGTTCTGACTTCTTTCTTCTACATTCTCTTCATTTCCTTCTACACTCTCTAAAGATCGAGAGACACTCAGAGGAGGAGACCAAGGAGATCTCTGTTTTAGTTTCAGCTACTGTATATCCAGGTATGGGGGAAAAGGGGATTATTTGTATGTAGAGTTATATGAGGGAATTGGGCAGAGGAAGAGTCCCTTAAGATTATGAGTAATTTTATAATTATTTCTCTTTGAGGAATTGTTGATCCCATTAGATTTTACATGTAATGAGGATTACAAATATGCTAATAATTTGTAAGAATGATGATCTGGGAGAGAGTACGAAATTGTAGAAAAGTGCCTATGAGTTAAGTTTTGGAATAATTGGGGGTTTTACCGTTTATGTTAAGATTATATTGGTAATTCCATTGATCATTATATTAATTTTTGAATGTTATTGTTATATTACTTGATAAGAATTGATGATCTAGATGTGAATTGTTTGAGGGGTGTGTAAACCCTTATTTTGTTGGACTTATCCGTTGTGTGTATATGTTATTGAGCTATAAGATGAGATGTGATGAATGTGAATATGATTATGATTGAGATGTGAAGATGATGAATACAATTTTTAAAAATTTTCCGTCACAGAATTCGTCACAAAAGTATTCATTAAATTTTGTGATGAATTTTTGTGACGAAATATTTAGAGAGAAATCAAAATTCGTCACTAAATCCGTCGCAATTTTTTTTTTTATTAGTGACCCGTTTGTGACGGAATTGTTAGAGACGAAAATTTTTCCGTCACAAAATCCGTCACAAACTGTAAAAATAAGTAGTCCGTCACAAATAAAATTTTTGTCATAAAAGTCGTCACTATTAGTGACGACATTTTATCCGTCACAAATTTTCGTCACAAATTTTAATTTTTCTAATAGTGCATAGACCTCTCCAGAATGTAGTACCTTGGACTAGTAACCCATTAAACATAAGAATACTCAAAATTCTTATAAATATAAGTTAACCATTTCCATGAAGTAGACAAAATTGTAGTCATCATCTAGTTATTCTTATTGACATAACACAAAACAAATATAACAATATAGGTCATTCTATGCTTTAAAATTTTAAAAACATAATAATATTTACTTTACCTCATTTCCCTTAACATGTTGCATAAGAAATGTGATTTGTTCCTTTAAGACATCGACTTCTACAACTTGTGCCTTGAGTGAGTCAATTTCAACTTGCATTTGTTCTATCTTTTCATTAGATACAAAGGAAGTAGTTGATAATGTTGCATGAAAAGAAAATCCAATGATTTGAGATGGCTCACCAGCATATATATATATATATATAATAATTTGTCAATCATTCATCATCTTCACATCTCAATCATAATCATATTCACATTCATCACATCTCATCTTATAGCTCAATAACATATACACACAACGGATAAGTCCAACAAAATAAGGGTTTACACACCCCTCAAACAATTCACATCTAGATCATCAATTCTTATCAAGTAATATAACAATAACATTCAAAAATTAATATAATGATCAATGGAATTACCAATATAATCTTAACATAAACGGTAAAACCCCCAATTATTCCAAAACTTAACTCATAGGCACTTTTCTACAATTTCGTACTCTCTCCCAGATCATCATTCTTACAAATTATTAGCATATTTGTAATCCTCATTACATGTAAAATCTAATGGGATCAACAATTCCTCAAAGAGAAATAATTATAAAATTACTCATAATCTTAAGGGACTCTTCCTCTGCCCAATTCCCTCATATAACTCTACATACAAATAATCCCCTTTTCCCCCATACCTGGATATACAGTAGCTGAAACTAAAACAGAGATCTCCTTGGTCTCCTCCTCTGAGTGTCTCTCGATCTTTAGAGAGTGTAGAAGGAAATGAAGAGAATGTAGAAGAAAGAAGTCAGAACTGAAAGGTGTGATTTTGGGAGTGCTAGAGCGCTCTATTTATAGGCATCAAGTGTCACCGGAATGACCCGTTTCAAATCCAGAATGGCCTGTTTTGGACTTTGACAGCATGTGTAAAATTTACATCTAAAACGACCTATTCTAAAACCAGAACGACCCGTTCTGGGGTTGTACTTAACCCACAACGACCATATCTGGAATTGCCCGTTCTCAATTAGGGTTATAGGCATTTTTGTTGATTTGGAACGCCCCATTCCAATTTGGGAACGCCCCGTTCCTATCTAAAATTTGTAGACAATTTTTGTATTTTGGAACAGCTTGTTCCAGTTTGGGAATGACCCGTTCTGGGCTACAAAATCACTCTCGTTTTAGTAGTTTGGAACAGCCCGTTCTAGGCTACTAATGACCCCTATTGGGCCTTTGGGCCCTCAAACAATCTGTGAAAATCAGGCTGTTACAGTTTGTTATGTGGTATCTTCTATCAACCTTGATTTTAATTAGTTGATTTTCATGCATGAATCTAGTTTTAAATTAAGAAGCCATTTATATTGACTATTGTTACATGTGGGGTAGAGGGTGTCACACACTTTCTCCTATATTTCCACCATTTTTTGTCTTGTTTGGAGCTTAAAGAATCAATGAAAGAACACCCCAAGGAGTCAGAAATTCCCCATGGGTACCAACTACGCAAATGCAAGTTGGGGCACAAGAACCTATGAATGACTGCACATCCCCTAGACGGATCCCTGCGTTATCCAGCCCTCAGTGGC